AAGAACACACCGAGATTTGGATCTTTGATAGAATCGTAACAAGCCGGAATTGGTTCATCAGAGTCGGAAATAATCCCTTCGCGTATGGCTTCATCCACATGATGACTAAAACCTCTCTGCTCCTCATACTCTTGTAAGATTCGAAGCAACAACTCAGGAGATCTACCTGCATCTCAGGTGTTACAAAGATTTGAATTATACAAATAATCTCTTTTCAAACCTATGGCCTTCAGGCAAGCATTGACATTAGGTTGTCCTTGCCATTTTCCTTGTTTATAGAGGAAGCCCGCTCGACTTGCCAGAGACTCCCAGGTGAGCAATTCATCGTCTTCCAGGGTGATCGTTTGTTTGCGACGTCTGCACGAACTTCCTTGCAAAGGTGGGGATGACGGATTTGATAGATTTGGTCCTGACATGGTTAATCAATGTTTTAATGTTCAAAATGCCAGGCCAAATTTCAAGATCCCACTGACATGTCTCTCAACTTGTGCCGTGGCGACTGGCCTGTGGAAAAAATTCAAATCCCTGAAATAGGGATGGGTGGGGAACAGGGGGGACTACCCTACCCCCTATTTGTGAAAGCACTAGCAGAAAAGGACCCGGTGACTTCATTCTTGTACTAAACCCAGAAACACAGTACACAATGAATTTGAATCAGGCACAAAATATTTTCGAACCTTAGTATTGAATTTCTAAGTCTTTTCTACTGTGTTTCCAATTTATATTTATTTTATGATTATCCGTATCCTTCTAAAACGTTTTCGCAGCCTTAAAACATGTCGTCTGTTAAAAGTTTCGAGGGGAGTGGGGTGGTCTTGAAGGTTACCGCCCATGACAATTCAAATACCCCACCCCCTATTACTAGATGATAATGGGGGTAAAAGGGTGCTTCTGTGCGAGGGTAAGTACCCGTATATGAGCAGTCAAAAGTACCGGTCATTGAAAGCGCTAATCAGTAATCCTGGAATTTCATATACCGGTGCAGCCCCCTGAATCCCAATATACGGTACGAGGGCTTGACATAGGATTTACTGGCAGAAGGTAAAAAGTGCCTCAAGCAAAACAAAGCAGGAACTCGGAACAAGCTGAACCGGCAGGCACACAGTCCACAGCGAGAAGCGGCACAATCACACACAAAACACAAGCCCGAAAAGAACCAGCACTGCTGGCACCCAGACGCGGCAGCGCCAGCCCAAGCGCGAAGCCGCGCAGACAAGCAGCCTAAGGGTCAAGCAAGCAAGCAACAAGCAGCAGGAGCATGCAGGAGGAATAAAATCCCTTAGCCGCGATACCCGGAGGCAGCCGACTGACCACTAGCACTTCTCGAGCCAGAGGACAGCTCCTCCTCGGACTTTGTCGAGTCGCCCGAGGAGTCTTCGCCGGAGGTCTCCGACTCCGATGGGGGACACCCTTCGAGTGGCCCAGGTCATAGGATTTACTGGCAGAAGGTAAAAAGTGCCTCAAGCAAAACAAAGCATGAACAAGCTGAACCGGCAGGCACACAGTCCACAGCGAGAAGCTGCACAATCACACACAAAACACAAGCCCGAAAAGAACCAGCACTGCTGGCACCCAGACGCGGCAGCGCCAGCCCAAGCGCGAAGCCGCGCAGACCGTACCGACAAGCAGCCTAAGGGTCAAGCAATCAAGCAACAAGCAGCAGGAGCATGCAGGAGGAATAAAATCCCTTAGACGCGATACCCGGAGGCAGCCGACTGACCACTGTCAGTCGGAGACGTCCGCTGCCGCCACAAAGCGGGCGGCCGCGGACGGAGAAAGGGCAGCCGCCGACAAGGAGCCGGCGTTGCCCGGGGGTCCGCCTGGGGCAGCGGACGGAGGGAGGCTGGACACAGGAACATTCTGTAGGATTTTGGGCAGGTAGGTATATACGGTATCTTGTAGGGTAGTCCCTGGGAATCGAGGGGTGGTTTAGTGATTTCAGTTATTTGTACCAGGTAATTTGAGACCTTACGAAATTGATTTGAAATGTTCCTTAGAATAATTTTTATATGTCGATAACAGTACAAAATGAAAAATAATTTATTTTGCTGCCTCCTTGTCCTTTACCCCTTCCCTGATGCTGGCATCGATGCAAACCATCTGCTGATGTGGACCATTGGATGAGAAGCAGTTGAGAGCGACAATGACACAGGTGAATCAGAAGCCCAACATGCATGTGTGCTTGAAGGCTTGCGACGGATGTGTGATTCGGAAGCTTACACATGTGCTTTGAGTTTTTCAATGAGAGTTTTCCTCCAAAATATTTTATTTTGCTGCCTCCTTGTCCTTTGCTGATGTGGACCATTGGATGAGAAGCAGTTGAGAGAGACAATGACACAGAAGGTATCGCAGATATCTGGAAGCCATGCAGCCCAATGATCGTTGTGAGAGCATTCAAACGGATAATCTCCCGTGTTTCACTTCCCTTGTTACAACACTGCGCGCTGGAGAGTTCACAGATACTCTGCAGAGATGACTAGCTTCTCAAGAGACTTTCAGATAGAATTCCAGCAAGAAAAGCATGCAGGCTTGATTTTGACATATATATTCCTAGATTCAAATGAATAATTGCTCTGTCGCAGAAAATTATTGTTGATGCAAAGCTTGACATCTGACTTGCAGCGAAAAGCAGCACACTTGCTGCTCAGACGCAGAGATGTTAAACCAAGCTTTATTTGAGAGGACCCTCAACTTTGGTTTAGTAAACTATCACTAAGCTCAAATTCAATCTACCATATTGAGTGGAGAAGGTTATCTAACATATGGAAACACACTCTGACAATCTGATTATTACGATCAGAAAATCACAAGTGTTGCATGAATCAGTATCGTAGACCATAAATTTTATAGGAGAACATCCGCTTCGCACCTGCCTAGAACATTTAAAATGAGGCTACCTACATCTGATTGATGGTACAATGCAGCTATGAGGAAAGCTTAACGCATTTGGGAAATTTCCTCAAATTTTTCCTGGCCCAAACTTTCTTCATTGTCATGAGTCTTTCCATACCATCTTCGAAGAAGCAACATCCTCTTCATACATTTACATGTGTCCATGCTTCTTCATACGTTTGCATGTGTCCATGTTAACTGTTGCAGGTTCTGACAGAAATCCTGTGTAAACCTCAGAATGTGCTTCATAGGGGTTGAGAAGGTAAATATGACTGGGCGGCTCATCTGCAGGAAAATCTTCAAGGCTATTCAAAACTTTCCAAACATGAGGAGGATACGATTTATCCTAGACAAACACATGACGACAACGCCTTGTGTTGTGTTGCTCCCCGCATGTAACATGCCAAAGCCCCATTGACGGTGAAATTCGCATCCTTGCTTGCCATGCAGTGTTGCTTGTAGAAAGAGAATGCTTGGGATCTCGAGAGACCCTGCTCAATCATCACAATCTCATGCTCTGTGGTAGAATGATGCCATTCCAAACATGAATCCTCTTTGGCTGCGGTGGGACGATTTCCACCCACCCCACATAGATTTTGGGGTAAGCAGTACCGGTATGTTGTGACATTCTGTACGGGATTGGAAGTTCCTGGTAACAATATGTAAACATCATGTATGTGTTTATATATATAAAAATAAATAAAACGAAAATAATACAAATGTCTAACTGACTCATACAAAAATAGCTATGAGATATTTGAACAAAAACACGCTGTATTAAAAACTAATTCAACGACCCCTCTCAAACAATCCAGGTACCACCACCCCCATATTCAGGGGAAACCACCGGGTCATTAGTCATAACCGGTACTGGGAGATCGAGAACTGACAAAAAGCCACTTTTCCTTGGTTTTTCCTGGGCGAAATCCTACAGAATGGAACACGGTACCGCTCGAGGTAGTCCTCCTCGCTAGCCTCCGAGTCAGCGGTAGCCGAAACCAACACCGCCCGTGACGGCGGCGACGCCGCGGCAATGCCCAAGGACCGGCGTGACCCGATTGATGCCGGGGAGGAAGCAGGCGAGCTCGGACCAGCAGCAAGCACCCCAGTGGTGTCGAGCTCTCCGGAGGCACCCGACGTCACAGTGAGGGACGGAGACGCCTCGCCAGCTCCGCGCCGATCGTCGGGGCCACTCGAAGGGTGTCCCCCATCGGAGTCGGAGACCTCCGGCGAAGACTCCCCCTCGGGCGACTCGACAAAGTCCGAGGAGGAGCTGTCCTCTGGCTCGAGAAGTGCTTGCGCCCGCAAGGGCGTCATGCGCCTCGCACCAGACTCTGCCAAGAGCGCTTCCAGCGTCAGCTGCATGGTGAGGCGCTGATAGGTGGCGGCGCGTTTGCGAGCCAAGACCTCAGCTCAGGCACGAAGTGCCGACCAAACGCCGCATCCTTAAGAGGCATTGAGCGCTGAGCAATGATGTCCGCGAGATACCAGATGAAGCGGAGGGTGTCAGGATGCAGGGTACCGTCCGTCGAGATGGCAAGAGGGATGAACGCTCGAGGAGGAGTAGTCATGGCATATGCAGCGCGATGTTTGCGAATCTTCTCAGACGCTGCAACATGGAGGGCGTCGAGGTTGACCTCCCCCCACTTGGTCAGGTCGGCAGAGCTACCAATGTAAGGGTGGACCAACGTCACGTCCGCCATCAAGCCCTCGTACTGCTCGGACCCTCGATCGCGGATTCCAGGAATGTGGATATCGCCCTTCATCTTGCGGCCATGAGGATGGGAGGGTACCTGCCGTCGAGAACGAGGATCCCCCACTGTATCGATGACGCTCTGAAGACCAGCTTCGTTCAGCATCGACCGAATCGTACGAGTAAGGTTGTCATGCGCCGTGGGAAGCTTGGAGGATCGGCGTTTGCAGGTCTGGAGATGATGTGCAGCAACGGAGGGGTCGAGCTCGCGCTGACATCCATCACATTCCGTCGGACACTGGCAGATCGGCATGCCATGGAGATAGCAGTCGAGCATCTGAGCATAGCTGACTCGGAGGCTAGCGAGGAGGACTACCTCGAGCGGTACCGTGTTCCTGTGTCCAGCCTCCCTCCGTCCGCTGCCCCAGGCGGACCCCCGGGCAACGCCGGCTCCTTGTCGGCGGCTGCCCTTTCTCCGTCCGCGGCCGCCCGCTTTGTGGCGGCAGCGGACGTCTCGACTGACAGTGGTCAGTCGGCTGCCTCCGGGTATCGCGTCTAAGGGATTTTATTCCTCCTGCATGCTCCTGCTGCTTGTTGCTTGATTGCTTGACCCTTAGGCTGCTTGTCTGCGCGGCTTCGCGCTTGGGCTGGCGATGCCGCGTCTGGTTGCCAGCAGTGCTGGTTCTTTTCGGGCTTGTGTTTTGTGTAGGAGGTTTAGCTTGTTCCGACTGACCACTGTCAGTCGAGACGTCCGCTGCCGCCACAAAGCTGGCGGTCGCGGACGTCGCCCGCCTTCTGCCAGTAAATCCGTAGGAGCCGGACGTCGTAAGCCTCCAGGGAGCATAGGATTTACTGGCAGAAGGTAAAAAGTGCCTCAAGCAAACCAAAGCAGGAACAAGGTATCGCGTCTAAGGGAGTTTCATCTCGGAGGTCCCCATGCTCCTGCTGCTTGTTAAACCTCCTACCGACTGTTGCTTGACTCACGCCCTCTGAGGGTCTACACCCAGCTGTTTAGTAACCGTAGACCTGTTTGCTATACGGCTATCGCTCGCTTCCTCGCTTGGTAATGTCCCGGACGTTGCCCTCTCCTCATAGCCTGGACGTTCACTGCTCGAGATCTCTTCTGCCAGTAATTCCGTATTCTCCGTGCCCAGAAATATCCTCTGGCGACCTTCTTCGTTGAGGCGCACGACTTCGTTCATAATGCTGGAGCGATCCTCTACCGTCGTGTGAGGGCTCCTGCACCAGCTGCAGATGGCGCGGCGATCCCACCTGCCCCGGCTGCTATGCCTGATGACGCAGGACGCCCCCCGGCATCTGTGGTACACATCCCTGGTTTGCAGTGCGCGCTCTAGTCGACTCGTCTCATGAGCACTTTATTGCTCCGCCTGCGCAGCGCAATGTGACCCCTCTTGTCATGCGCGTCTTCCCTCGCCATGTGCATGCTCGCGCTGCGCTGACCGATCAGCAGCGTGATATCCTCACCTTGCACAGCCGAAGGACGTACTCGCTCAAGTCGCAGGATAGGGTCTTGCAGTCTACCATCTTCGCTCATTTTCCTGAGCGAGACCTGAGCCACTCTCCAGGAGGTTTAGCTTGTTCCTGCTTTGTTTTGCTTGAGGCCGCACTTTTTACCTTCTGCCAGTAAATCCGTGTTCACGGCAAAAAAAAAAAAAAAGTGGTGTCGAGCTCTCCGGAGGCACCCGACGTCACAGTGAGGGACGGAGACGCCTCGCCAGCTCCGCGCCGGTCGTCGGCGCCACTCGACGTGTTTCCCCCATCGGAGTCGGAGACCTCCGGCGAAGACTCCTCCTCGGGCGACTCGACAAAGTCCGAGGAGGAGCTCCCTCTGGCTCGAGAAGTGCTTGCGCCCGCCGCGGGCAAGGGCGTCATGCGCCTCGCACCAGACAAGAGCGCCTCCAGCGTCAGCTGCATGGTGAGGCGCTGATAAGCTACCAGACAGTGGTCAGTCGGCTGCCTCCGGGTATCGCGTCTAAGGGATTTTATTCCTCCTGCATGCTCCTGCTTGTTGCTTGATTGCTTGACCCTTAGGCTGCTTGTCTGCGCGGCTTCGCGCTTGGGCTGGCGATGCCGCGTCTGGGTGCCAGCAGTGCTGTTCGTTTCGGGCTTGTGTTTTGTGTGTGATTGTGCAGCTTCTCGCTGTGCGCTGTGTGCCTGGAGGTT